GGACAGTGTCCAGCACGGAGCGGCGCTGAGCGCTGCTGGCCCCGTCCTCCTCAGGTTGGCTGTACACATTGAACAGGATGGGCAAGAAATTTTTGGCAAAGCGACCCACTTCTGCCCGCTCCGCGTCTAGGGGGAGGACGACAAAGGGGTGTGGATCAGCATCTCCCCCTCCGGGTCACCGCAGGGGACAGGGACCCACCGCGAGGGTCTGTCCCCCACCAACCTGTCTCGCATCCTTTGTGGATGAGGGTGCGCAAGGCCTGGCACACGGTGGGGCGCAGGTCCGGGCGCTCGCTGACGGCCATGCCCAGGGTGCGGGCCAGCCCCTTGAAAGCCCCCAGCACGTCCGTGGGGTGGGTGCAGAAGCCAGGCAGCAGGGTCCAGACCTTGAAAGCAAAAGGAGAGGTGGGAGACCAATACCTTTCGCCCGACGGCTTGTTTAGCGATTTCAAGTTACAAAATCACTTACTCTTTCAGAAGATCTCACGCTTAGTTTTGTTTATCCTGATTTCTCCGTGCCCCCTGGGGCTCCCAGGAGCGCAGGACTGCACCCACTAGGACCCCTGCCATGCCACCCGCTCACCTCTGCTTTTCAGGGTGGCTGCTAAGGGCAAGAAGTAGCTGGTGAAGAAGCCGAGCCGCGCACCCTGCACGTAGTCCCGCAGCACTGGCAGGAGCCAGCTGCGGGGGAAATCCAGCGTCTCCCTGGGGAGCGAAGGCACGGGTCAGGGGAGCGCTGGGCACTGCCAGCACCATCCCCTGGGCACGGGGCACCTCCACGTGGCCCCAAAGCTGGGCACAGGGAGGTTCGGCAGAGCCAAACACCTCCAGCACCACGTGCAGACTGAACAGGAATGGAACAAATGGCTGCAAAACTGACACCATCACGGACAGACTGAGAGCTGGTCATTTCCCAGTACAAGAACTGGCGGGGGAAACAGAGAAAGTATGAGCCAAAGACAGCAAAGAGACAGCACCTCTGCTCAGCGTGCTGGGGGCACCGGTCATTTGCACTGGCTCACAAACAGGTCAGAGAAGGTGCCGATGAGAAAAGTGCAAGGGGAAAACAGTTTCTCAGCTGGAGACCAACGTCCTCAGTTGCCGGGAACAGGCGCAGGGCCCACTGCCCCATGGCTGTACTCACTCCTTGCCGTTGATCTCCAAGGGCACGGCTTCCAGCAGCACCTCTGGGCCCATGGTGCTCACGGCAGCCCCCACCGCCTGGTCCACTTCAGCGGTGTAGGGGAAGTGCGGGGAGAGACGCAGGTCACACAGGGACCGGAGACACTGCAGGGACAGGGCAGGACGGTCACACAGCAGCCACGGAGGCAGCTGTGTCATTCGCTATTCCTGCCCAGGGATGCCAGCTGCCCTGCATGTCCCTGTGCCGAGTCCCAGAGCTGCGCTGGCAGGATGGCAGGCACCGGGATGGCCCCGCTCTGCGGCCGGAGAGGGCAATGCAGCCCGGGCAGCAGCACGGCCGCTCCACTGTCTCACCTTCCTCATGATGGGGTGGCACTGCTTCCCACACGTCTCGAAGAAGACTTCCAGCACCCGCAGCACCTCATCCCATGCCGCATGGAAACGATACGTCAGGCCCTCCTCCACTGATCTGGGGAGGAGAGAGCAGACGGTCACGCCGGCAGAGACCAACCCAGCAGCAATCAGGGTGCCAACCAGGCCTGCCAGGCCCATCAGGGACCGGGCAGAGGCTGCTCAGTGCTCAGCCGGGCCCACGGGGACAGCCTCTCCCACACCACTGCTGCTCACCTGAACATCTTGCAGAGGTAGGCGGCAGGGGCTGGGGCAGATGCAGAGACGGTGCCCACGTCCTCCATGTGGGGAGCGACGCACTCGCTCAGGAGGATCTGCAAGGACAAACAGGGAAAATAGGACAGCAGCGGACCGCGGACCCCCCAGCCTGGCAGGTGCAGAGGGGCACACCACCCCCAGGCAAGCCCCAAACCCCCAGGTAGAGCCCCCCGCGAGGACCAGGGCAGCCAAGTGGGAGAGGCACCCGTGCACAGTGCAGTACCTCCAGGGTCTGCGCCGCTGCCGTCACCACCTGGGAGTGCGGGGAGAGGAAGCAGTTCATGGCGGCCGAGAAGAGCCGGGGCAGGTGAGCCCAGCACAAGTCCTTCTGCAGCCTGGAGAAGAGACACCGGGCGGGTGAGAGACCGAGCGGCCACCTCTCCCCCTGCCCACCCACGGCCCCTGCCCGCACCTGCCCAGGCTGCTGTGTGCCTGCTCCATGGTGGACAGCCAGGTCAGCAGCGGCTGCAGGTCACTTGTGCTGGGCACGTAGTCGTAGAGGGCCTGCGGAAGCAGATGGTGGGTGGGTGGACGCCATGGCACTGCCAGCCCTGTCCCTCCCCATGCTGCTGCCCTGCACTCACGGTGATGATTTGGGCATTGAGCTCGGCTGGCAGGCAGGCCACACTGGCCTGGGCACTGAAGAGGCTGTGGAAGGCTTGCATGGCGCACGCCGTCACCAGCTGGAAAGGACACAGCATCAGATGGGGGCTCCACGGCAGGTGGCCCCCCTTCACACGCTCTGTCCCCCGGCCCCAAAGCGGGCTCTGCCTGGGGAAGCCCAGCGCTGCTGTGACTGCGCCCTGTCTTGTAGCCTCCCTCTTCCACAGCAGGCAGGCCAGCAAGAACCGGCTGGACCGGGCTCCTCCGTGTTTGCATCCTGCATTTCCAGGCTCCCAGCTGGCAGCAGAGGAGGTCTGAGCCCTTCCAGGGTGCAGCCAAGGGGGAAAGGGGCTGCCCTCACCACCCCCAGCGTGGGGACGCTCACCACGTGGCTGAGGGTCATCACTCGGAGCAAGGTCTCGCAGCAGGTCTTCACCAAGGGCGCAGGGAAGCAGGGCAGCAGGTCCCGCAGCAGGGCGAGGACGTGCAGGGTGGTGGTCGCCTCCTTGGTGCCTGCGGGAGCGGAGCAGCGCTTGAGCCCGTGGCACCCCATGGCAAATCCCCGCCCAAGGCAAGGCCCGTGTGGCAGTGCCAGGGCTGACCCACAAAACTGGGGTGAACACTTCCCCACCCCGACTTCTGGGAAGAACAGAGCAACAGACAGATGGCTGAGGGCCCTCCAAAACACTTAAGGTGCCCCAGCGGTGTCTCCTACACTCCCCTTTTCCCTTCAAGTCCTTCTTCTCCCACGGCTGCAGGACCACCCCACCCAGCTGCAGACCACACCAGCGCCCCACACCTCCAGCTTTCTCGATCTCCTGCACGCAGAACTTGGCAGTGGAGGGTGCCGCGGGATGATGCTCCGGGGCCGCGTCTCCAAACAAGAACTCGCTGCCCCTCAGGACGGAGCACACGCCATACTGCGCTGCCTTCCGCACCTGGGGGAAGGAGAGCCCAGGTGGGTAGGAACAACGGGCCCCGGGGGGCACAGCCAGCCCCAGAGGCAGCGTCATCCCTCGCCAGGGAAACTGGGCACTTACCTTGGGCTTGGTATGAATGCAGAAGCTCAGTAAGCCGTGGTAGACCTGGAGGGTGACCGGATAGCTCCAGGCTGCCAAGTCCTGCTTCCGCAGCAGCGTGGCCAGGCAAGAGAGGACCTGCGAGGGAGCAGCAGAGGCCTTAGCATCACCCCACAGAGACCCCCCCTCATTGCAGCAGCCTCAGGCTGAGCACCCAGCACCACCCTACAACAGTAGCTTGACCTCAGCTCGCAGCAGACCCCTGGCCAGAGCTGGTACTGCTGGCTCCCTCTTGGCTACTCACCCATCGCAAGGCAGAGGTGGAGCTGCTGCAGGCCTGTGAGGAGATGACACCCATGAAGGCTTTTGAGGCGTCTGAGAACTTTTTTATGAGCACAGGGCTTGGGACCCTGCCGGGAGAAGGGGATGCATCAGCTGTGCAGGGAGCAGGCAGCCGCTGGCAGTCTCGCAGGGAACCACATCCCCAGCCCGCCCCGGTTGGGTCATTTCCCCAGCCCAGCGAGGGGGACAGCACCAACCCCTCTGCGACCATGGGCCTGGGCAGCTCTCCCTTCTCCTCTAGCAGCCACTCACCGCTTTAGGACAGGGTTGAGCAGGTAGAGAACAGCAGCCAGTGACTCAGGGGACTCCACCGCCTCCAGCGTGGTCATCTGGGAACAGAGGAGGGGTAAGCAAGGGGGAGCAGGGATTCACACTAGACCAGCCCTTCCCCAACCCCAACCCTTGGTGAGGGGAGCAGAGAAACCAGCAGCAGCCCAACAGCGTCTCTGCTGGAGAAGGACACTGAGGACCTCAGCTACGAGCACAGCACCTTCCACCACCAACCCTCCCGGAAGCCCACCCATGCTGCCAGCAGCAGCTCCCCTCGCGCCTCCTCCCCACGGCCATCGCTCACCAGTGCGGCGAAGTACTCTGTCTCGCTCTCCTTGCCCCCCCGCGCGCGGATCACCTCCGTCACAGCCGCCAGCAACGCGCAGATCTACGAGCAGCAAGGGGAGGCGGCCAGCAGCCCCACGTCCAGGGGGGCCAGTCCCACCAGACCCCCCCACCCAGCCCTGCTCCTGCCCCTACCTCTTTGTGGGCGGCAGAGTTGGACTCCCAGAAGCGCTGCACCTTGCTGAAGGTGACGTTGGTGCAGTCGCTCAGCCCGCTCAGGAAGGTGCCAGCGGACTTCTCCGTGGCAGCCTCCCCAGCATCATCCTCCTCCATACGGAGCTGAGCGCTGTCACTCGGCCGCTCCAAACGCAGGGACCCCGACTGCAGCTCATTGTGCAGCTTCACTGCATCCACCGTCAAGTTGCTTTTCTCTGCTGGGGTGAAGAGTTACGGTCAGGACCTCAAAGTTGCATCACTCTGCTGTTCACCCCAAAACTCCCCACCTCCCCCTCCTTCCCCCATCAGCTGGACTGGCAGGGCTGGAGCTCATCTCCAGCATGTGGGACATGGATGCCGCTTCCCCCTGATGGGAGAAAGCACAGCGCTAACTGGAGAGAGCTCCTAACTCCTGTGAAAACAAACCAGGGCACAGCCCGACCATCTCCTCTAATGGAGCAGAGTACCGTGCCCTCACAAACACGTCTCGGTGTGCCAGGGCTTTAACACCGAGGTACTCCTTGCACTCTGCCCCACTTATCTTCTGCCTGGAGCCCTGGCAACCAGACAGCCAAGGCACACGCCTCATGTCCCTCTGAGTCCTGGACACCAGCTTGCAACCAGCTGCAAGAGAACATCTACGAGATGCAAAACCCATTTCTCTATCCACGGGAGAAGGATCTCCTTGGCCAGCGGCAGCCAGGGCTCCCGCCAGGCTGCCCTGCTCCGAGGCTCGCCCT